TGCATCAGACCTCAGGACAACTCGTCCTCCCAGGTAGGCCTGCTGCCCTCACCCCAGAGGTGTGATTCCCGCAGACTCACCCTCTGCTCTCGCCTTCACCAGCTGCAAGGGCAGGAGTGGAAGGGCGTATCCAATGGGGCTCTGGGTGCCAGCAGAGTCCTGCAGAGTGGCAGCGCCTGGCTGCGTACCTAGCACTCCCCCAGCCCCTAAGTAGCCAGAGTCCAAGGCCACAGGAGCCAAGGGGCTGCCCCACCCGGTTCCTGAAACGTCCTTCATCTCTAGGCCCCATGCCCTTCTCCCCTCCCTGTCCAGGTTTATCCAGCCTTGGAGAAGCTCGGAGCTGGACTGGAGGTGGCACAGCACCTGGGTCAGCAGTGTTCGGGTGACTTCCCTGAGGTAGGTGAGTGAGTTTCCTTCTGCAAGAACCCGTGCTGTGAAGAGATGGGGCTCTGGGAGCACAGAGGGTGGCCACAGGCAGCCCCCTGTTTGAGATAGGGCTCTGGCCTCAGGGAGGAGGTGGGGTAAGAACCGTGCCACAGCAGGTGGACCATAGCCGCCTGCCCTTCCTGTTACCGAACTCAAACCAAATTGGCAGCACAGACCAAACCACAGACCAAACCGCAGGCACAGGTGTGATGAAGGCCAGTGCCGCTGTGCGGCGTCGAGGAAAGGATTGCAGGCCCTGAGTAGGCACCGCATGCATAGGGCGCATGGGCTTGCCAGAAAGAGAGCGAGAGAGAGAGACAGAGAGAAAGTGAGAAATCACCCCCCAGGGGGGATAGCCACGCTGCAATCCCTTCTTCATTCTCTTCTCAGGACCTTGGGCACGCACGCACACATGCCCGGCGTGCGTTTAAGCCACGGGGTCTGGAACTTGAACCGTGGTCAACTACATGGGAGTCCAGCGACACAGTCATTACACCAGCTGCTCTTCCCCTCTACATGCATTTTTTTTTTTGGAGAAGTTTTTGCTCGCCAGACAGAGAGAGACAGAGACAGAAAGCGAGAAATCACCCCCCAGGGAAGATGGCCACACCGCAATCCCTTCTCCTCCATTCTCCTCTTGGGATCTTGGGCACGCACGCACACGCGCCCGGCGTGAATTTTAAGCCACTGGGTCCGGGACGCAAACCACGGTCGACTACATGGGAGTCCAGCGACATAGCCATTAAGCTATGTCCCTACATTTTTATGAACAAAATTAAACGGGGGGTCTCGGGCATGCAGTGGCTGGTTCAGGAAGACAGGATTATCTCGTGAGCTTTCTTGATTGGAGAGGCCTTGTAACACTTGGTTTCACATCCTGCCAAACTTAGCACAGAGGAAGGGGATAACCAGTCTGGAGTCTCCAGTCTTAGTTGGCCATTAAAATTTAAGTGAATTGAGACCAGCAGGTGGGGGGCTGTAGTGATTAAGGCCCTGAACTCCCACATGGCAAACCTGGACCTGGAGACTTGCTTTCTCACTTTCCCTCTCTCTCTCTCTCTCCCTTTCTCTCTCTGGTCAAATTTAAAAATAATAATAAATTGGGACCAGCAGTTAGCGTAATGGCTATGTTGCTGGTCTCCCATGTAGTTGATCGTGGTTAGAGTCCTGGACCCGGTGGCTTAAACTCACGTTGGGCTCGTGTGAGTGTGTGCCCAAGATCCTGAGAG